ACAACCATCATGGCCATTGTGCTACAGCCTCAGGGCCGCAGCAGTCACACATTGCAGTTTCATGAGATTGCACCAGGGCAAGATATTTCTATCCTGCTTGCAAAGTGTGTGACGGAGGCTAAACTAGGAAACTGAAGTTTCAAAGGCTGTGAAAATTGAAGGATTTGAGAGATATGATTGATATTCTAATGAATGCTAATAGCACACAGCAGTTCTGGGCTGCAGCTCAGCAAGCAATGTCAGTCAATGAAGAAAGAAAGTCCTTTGAGTATCAACTTAATTCCTCATCTTCTTGTCCCGGACACTTATCACTGATCTGCTGTTCTTTCAACCAGTCACTGTGAGAAATTTTGGTCTCCAAGAAATGTGTACATTGTCATTAATGATTAGTCAGAGCCTGACTTGTTAAATAGACTTGCCTACTCTTCTTCAGCTAAGACAAGCTAAAATGGGCAAGCTAATCCTCATGTCCAATTGTTGACAGGAAAATGCTGTTCTGTATATATGGATGATGTGTGCGTGCAGGGGAGGGAGAGAGTTCACAGGTTCTTTTTGGTCTCTCTAATCCATGACACAGACTATAAGAGTAAAGCAAGGCATTACACTTAATGTGTATGTTGTTTTAAGTTTCAATATACATTCAGTGGGGTGATTTCCAACAGGACTATGGTGTGCCGAGAGGGAAGGGTTAACCTTTCCCTTTCCAGACTCCATGCTAAAAATCAATTCCTGTGCTGAGTCACTTCCTTTGCCCTAGATGGGAACTGCTTCTTTTCTTAAAAAGGAAAAATACAGCAGGAGAGGGGATTTATTATCAACATCATGCAAAGGTGGCATTAGGTGCAGTCTGTTAGGACTGGGCCCCCAGATTTTTGGGAAAGAAACTATACAATAAGGGTGAGGAAACTGGAAGCCATGGAAATGAAGTGGGCTTGAGTTGAAGCAAAGCCAAACTACACAATCAGTGATGCTGCAGGATGCAGCTCTTCCTTTATTCACAACAGTTTGCAAAGGTCTTACATAATGCAGCCATCCTCCAAGGCCTTTCCCACGCTTTCCAAGCATTTCCCTGCAGCTTTTTGGAAGGAGGATAATGAGCTATTATTTAGCTATTATGCTAAATCATGCCAAACCAAGCATGTTATATTTCCACAATTACATTATACTGTAGCAGCACCTTGTGGTTGTGAAATTATAGCAATGCAAAGAAGAAAACCCTCAGAAAGAAAAAATATGTGTAAACTCACTCTTTGTCCTGCCAAGAAAGTGGAGGAAGAAGCCAGGTAAAGTGCCGGGTTAAACATTTCATGTAGAGAAGGCCATGGCCTACTTGATCTTCTGCAGGACATCCCTTCAGATATTTGAAGACATCTAGCATGTCTCCCTTTAAGCTCCTCCAGATTAAAATGACCCAGGTCTCTCATATTACCCAGCAGTGAGACTCCTCACCACCTGGTTCTAATCCTTTGGACATATTCCAGTTCCTCATGTCCTCCTTAAAAATGTGATGCTCAGAACTGGGCACAGTGTCCCAACTGCAGTCTGATGAGCACAGAAAGCCACCTTCCAGATGTTTTGGACTACAACTTGCATCAGCATCAGCCAGCACAGCAAATGCATAGCTGTTACTTCTGGTGGTCTCAGATGCTATGTCTCTACCTTTGCAACCTAAGCTTGCACTGGCTTTTTTAGCAGCAACATCACTCTGCTGGCTCATGTACAGCCTGAGATCAGTGAAAGCCCAGAGAACATTTCCATGTCAAAGAGCAGATTCTGGACTGAAAACAGATAGATATCCACAATGTAACTACAATGGGCTGCCTCATATATTCTTAGCCAACTGTGTGGAGCAGGACAGCTGACTAATACACTTGCTGTCCTCAGCTCTTTTATCCGAGCCATCATTTTAAACATGGCCCTTAAATTATGTGTTTGACCATTCAAGGAAAAAAGATTTCCCCTCGCACACTAAATGTTTGCATTTTACATTAGTATAGTACATAACTTAATATACTTGCTATAACACTTAACTGATTCTCATCATCATTTCTATTATCATCAAGAATCTTCTAAAAACAATTCATTCTGATTTAATCTCCACATCTTCATTTACAGGGAGGAAAAGTATAAAATTAAATGTCATTTAATACATTTCATCCACATTAATGGCCACAATTAGCATTGGAACTGATTATTAAAATGTAGACATTTGGTACTTACAGATTGTTTGAATTTCTAAAGAGAAATATTAAGATGCTTCACTGGGAGAAAAAACATTATAGTATAATCTTGAGAATGTGCCAGTCATAATGCTCGTATTTTGAAACAATAACATATTTTAAACTATCAGGAAAAGATTGAGCTACCTGAATAAAAGTGTGCATTTTTATTTGTATATTTTATTACATGCTACATTTATGTATATTCTATCCACCTAAGAAAAGGAAAGTAGAACTTTAGCCTCACACACACACAGACCTGTGAGGTAGGTTAGATTGTAAAATAGTTGTTACCAAACACTCAATTAAGAACATAATCCTATGGCCTCCTGACATTCTTAAGTGACACATGTGTCGGTTACTTCCCGATTGGACTTCTCTAATGCGCTCTACGTGGGGCTGCCCTTGAAGACGGTTCGGATACTTCAGATGGTGCAAAATAGAGCTGCCAGGTTGCTGATGGGGACTGGGCATTGTTCTCATATAACCCCAGTCCTCTACCAGCTTCACTGGCTCCCCATCGAAGTCCAGACCCAATTCAAAGTGCTGGTTATCACCTATAAAGCCCTTAACGGCTTAGGACCTGGATATCTAAAGGAGCGCCTGCAATCATATTTGCCCTCCCGCCCCCTGAGATTGGCAGCAGAGGCCCTTCTCCAGGAACCCTCTGTGAATGATATTAGGAGGGTGAGTACCCAGAGGAGGGCTTTCTCTGCAGTGGTGCCCCACTTATGGAATGCACTCTCCAGAGAGGTCCGCCTGGTGCCGTCGTTATTTGCTTTTTGGCACCAGGCCAAGATGTTTTTATTTAAATTAATTTGTGTTGTAAGCCGCCCCGAGGCTTCGGCAAGGGGCAGCATAGAAATGTAATAATAATAATAATAATAATAATAATAATAAATGATATTTTAATAAGTCTTGATTTTATTTATTGGTTTTAAATTATTGCCAGGATGTTTCCAGATTTTATATGTATTTGTATAGATATTTATATGTTGGAAGCTGTCCCGAGGCTTATGCAAATAGGACGGCATACAAAAATTCCAAATAAATAAATGAATAAATAAATAGCATGTGAAATGAATGCAATGGTGCATTAGTTTGAACATTCTTTGGCTTTGCCCCTCTTTGGAATCGGAATGTAAACTGACCTTTTCCAATCCTGTGGCCACTGTTGAGTTTTCCAAATTTGCTGGCATATTGATTGTAGCACTTTTAAGATTTTGAATAGCTCAGATGGAATACTGTCGCCTCCACTAGCTTTGTTGTTGCTCAGACAAAGACAAAGTCTAATAAGGTCTTAAAGGACCTGGAGAGTTTTATTTTATCTCTTTTTAAAATGAGGATTAATAGGGTCTGATGAATTTTAAAAATGCACCCACAGGTACATTATGACTTCAAGTGATACAATGGGCAGGTTCAAACGACACAACAAGCAATGGTGGGTGTGTACAATGACTGCTGGCCCATTACCTTGGTGGTTCTGGTGGCAATCAGTATAATCATTGTTTCTGCCTGCCGATGTAATTTTGCTCCCTACCTTCCCCTCCAGGCATGCACCCTGCAGGCAATCAGATCCTCTTTTTGAAACAACTGGTTTGCATTGGTTGACTGAGTGCTCTCTTCTCCCTCCTCCTGCAGGTTTCTTCAACCCTTCAACCCTCCACGCCATAGCCAATGAATCTCTTTTATTGCCTTTTCCCACTGGGGAACAAAACTGGATTCCTCCACATGTTGCCCTGTGTTTTTCTGCTTGCCACTTTTCCTGCTTTCACCCCACCACTAAATGTTTGCATTTAGATTAGCATAGTTATGACTTAATATACTCGGTATAGTACTTAACCAATTCTCATTGTTGTTTCTATAATCATAAAGAATCTTCTAAAGACAATTCAATTTGATTTTATCCCCACATCTTCATTTACAGGGAGGAAAAGTAGGAAATAAAATGTCATTTAATACATTTCATCAGCATTAATGTCAGCAATATCCAAAACTCTCTGGGCAGTTCACAACAATTCATAAAGTAAGAAACCACAAATGATAAAACACCTCATAGTTCCAATACATAAGATTTTGAACAATTTAAGCAGCTAAAACAATTTCAGCAAAACAAGACATGTTAAAAAGTCAGCTGATATAAATGGCTATCATAGGCCATTAAGTACCACTAAATGCCTGGGAGGAGTGGCATCTCTTAATCGGACATCAAAAAGATGACAGCAGTGGTACCTTAGTAAAGAACATGAGTGGGGGTTATGGCCCAAAGTTAAGGGCTTAATCCTGACAAGGGTGGGGGCACCCCTGCAGTGCTTCTATTCATGGCACTCATGAGCAATTGTAAAATGGTTATTTGATGCACAAAAGAGATTAACTCAACCTTTCTGAATGTGGTGCTCTCCAGATATGCTGGGCATGCTTACTGGGGGGGGGGTGATGGGAGTTGTAGTACAACAAATCTGGAGGATGCCATGTTGAGGAAATCTGAATTACATCAAAACCTATCTAATATATAAAGAATGAATACCTTCAATCTGAGAATTTCTCTGTGCTGTTTCACTTACTCCTTTGTCTTTAATTTCTTTGTTCACTTTAGATTCTTCTTCTCTTTTATTAATTGAGAATGAATGTTCTGCAGTGTATAACCAGCAATTGATTATCCAATTTACATTGGTTGATGTACACGTTCTGCTGAATCTGGGCAAGATATTACTCTCAATTTAAGAATCCATTTTCTGCACTAAATATACTAATGGGTATTTATGAATCCTCTGGCTGTAGATGGAGCAGGACCAGAACCCCCAAGAAAAGGGCCTGAGCTCCCTCAGGCTGAACAGCCCACAAAACCTGCTGGGACACCCCTCCAGGAAGAGGTGCAGCCTGTCAATGAAGGGGCAGCCAAGTGAGTAACTTAAGACCTGGGAAGTTCACCAGTCCAGTTATAATAGATCTAGTGCTAACATAATTGCAGAGGTCTGTTCTTGGGTGCAGCCCAATTGATCAGTTTTACAAATAAGAATTCACTAGAGTTGAAATGTTTTGTTGGAGAAAGGTGCACAGTGAGAGTTTAATTCTTTTTGTGCTTAAAAAGTCTGAAAATTATGAGGTAACACAGGATTGGCTCTACCATTAGGCACCCATCTCAGGCAAAGTGGATGTGGGAAGTCCTGAAACAGCAGAACATTCTTATTTATTTAATTTATTATTTAATTTGAATTGACAGGGAAGGGAGAAAGGCACTTATGTAACTTTCTGCCATGAATATTAGAATAACGTTCTTACTGTTACTGTCCTTGGGTACTATTCAATGCTCAAAATTCAGTGTTTAAGAATAGATTTTCAATGCCTAAACCTTAAGAACTTTTGATAAGGTCATAATGATAAGTATTCACTTGCCAAATTAAATGGGTTAATTCATTTAACTAAAACCTCTTGCTGCACAACTAATGCCTTTGAAAATGTAAAGGGAATCAAATTAGGAGAATTGAACTTAAGAAAAATCGCTTGAAAAGCCCTATCTTTCAGCTTGACATGCTGACTTAGGTTCAAAATACACAACCCACATTCAAGGATTGAATACCAGTTATTCTTAAATGTGGATTGTTGTGTTTTCTGAACCCAGATGAGATAAAAGACTCACACTTTACAATGCAACAAGAAACCATGGGATCTCTTAATGGGTGGTTTATTTGTGAATAACAAGCTATGGCTTGTTAATGCAGTTGATTCAGACAACACAATGACCCACCTTTCAAAAACACACTGTCACTTGTGCTACCATGTTGTCAGAACTGAGGGGCTGTGTTAGTTTCCCATGTACGTGCAGGCTCCAAAATGGATGAAAATATGGCCTCCAGCATGGCTGATAAGCAAAAATTATTAATGCAAGGCATTAGAAACTGTCTTGACATGGTTTGAAGGAGGCGATGACTTGAAAAGTTCATTCTCTAGGCCTTAGATATGGCTGCTGCTGCAGTTACCATTTTCCCAATTGCTGCTCAAATGCATTTTGCTTCTCCACCCTCTGATCAGGATGCATCACTTTCTATAAAGTCCATTATGAAGAAAGTCCTTTTTGCTAGGGGTATATCACCTCTAGATGGAGAAACTAATTTGTTATCCTGTCAACTGACTCATTTAGCTTCAGACAGACAGGGTGTTCACCCAAGAATACCCACACAGTACATTAGCAAGAAAAATTACCACCACTTTTTTTCTTCTTTCTGCCTCAGTTCTTTCTCATTTTTAAATATACCAATATACATTGTGATGGATATTAGCAAGCAGTAGACAGACATAGCCACAGGTTGCCTGTCTGCATCTAATTCTCATGACTGAATGTGGTGGGCATACATGAACAGCTGATGAGCTGAAGGAATAACAGAACAATTCCTGAGTCGCTGGAATTATTTAATGCCAAATCCCAGTGATTTGAATCAGGATTTGCTTTGAGTTTTATTTGCCTATCGATACAGTGTTCCTTCTATCCGCTCCTTCCCATAACAGTACAATACCTATTCCCATTAGCAGCTTTTCAGGGTAGTAATATTTTGGCTTCAGCAGCTTTGTGAGTGATGGATAGAGGGTACCATATGTGCCATCCCTTCACAGTAGGAATAGAAAGATTAGCATGCCATTTCATCAGCATGTAGAGACAAGACAGTGAAGCCTTAATAATAGGGGATTATTAAGAAGGAAGGCCCCTTCTGCCGTAGCAGGTTTTCAGACAACTCTGTGTTTATACCAAGAAGCTTGTACAGTAAACTGAATTACAATCCTGTATGGGATACATTCATTGACAAATGTATAAGCTTTTGGCAAAAACGTGTGTATACGCCTTTAAGCACAGTATAATTGCATAATGAAAAAGCTTGCTTTTACTTTTGGAAAAAGTGGGGATTTGGCATTTCATTTAGGACACAGTACAATGGAGATGAGAGTAAGGAGCAGCAGAAGCAAACTTTGTCACTCCTCCTGCTTATGTATTTTTGCTAGATGGCACTAGTGCGGGTTTTCTGTTTTTGCCTTTTTGGGTGGGGGAGGCTCCAGCAGCTCTCAGAGAGCAGTTGGCCCAGTTCTTTCTGCATCAGCTGTGAGGGGGCGTGGGAAGGGTGAGGCTCTGGTTCCCAGCTCCAGGGTCACAGTACAGTCCCTGATCTCAGAGCTGGGAAGCCAAACTATTCTGTGGTTGCTCAGGTGATTTCTAGGAACTCCCAGAATCATTCCTGTTACCTTATTTATACACACACACTTATCAATAATTTAATTTGATTCAATTTGATTATTCACATACAATCACTGTTTGAAGCACACACGAGCTACAAAAAGTACCATGCAACCAAGAAAATAGTGATAGATTGCAATGTTAACCTATAAAGTTCAGATTTGACTTTCTGATTTAACTAGACATAATGATTAGAGCCCTCCATACTATATGCCTTCTGACACAGGTTTCAAAAAAGGGTTAAAATCAACACTAAGCATTTGGTCTGATCTAGCATGGTTTTTGTTATGTTCTAAAGTTATCTTGCACTCCAACAGTATATTTCTATCTCGTTATACTACTAACCTCATATTATATTATTACTATTAGTAATAACATGCATCTCCCATCTTCCTCTAATAAGTTCAAGGCAACCTATATGACCACATGCCCTCATTTTTCTTCATAAAGACTATGTGGAACATGTTATGCTGGGCTAAAGCCGTCATTATGACTATGTGGCAGCCTTCAGCAGACACACTGGCCCACAGGCCAGACTGGAAAAGTCTTTCATTCTGGTGAGCAAGAATGAACAGAAGAAATGTTGCATTATCACACATAAATCAGGCTATCAGAAAAAGTTAGACAGATCTTTGGAACAGTCTTCTTTCTAGAGCTGAATGGCATCAGCAAGTTTCCTTTCTTCTTTTTTTAATTTTTACTTTTACTTTCCTTCATGTACCATGTTAAACGCTCAGTATTTTACATTAGTTTCTTCCCCATTGTGGTCTCTTCTGTTTTATCCCCCTGGACTATCTTCCTTCTGGAACTCAGCAGTAGCTGCTAAAACATCTTTGCAGGACCACCCTCCATTCTGAGAATACTCTGAGAATATAGTCTTCCCAAACATGTCCCAGTCAACAACCTTCTGCTTGTAGGGCCAATTGTAGGTAGATTTTTTTAAAGAGAACATCTTGCTTAGTAAACTTACTGCTAGAAATACACAGTGAAATAGCAAATATTCCCCATTGTGTGAGAAGTCAGCTCTAACTCCGCTTATGGAAGGGCTATGATTAGTAGGCATTGAATCAATCTGTCTGCACTGGCTGGCCATTTTGACAGGCTGAAATAGCTGGCCAGTGGGCTGCACTCATCTAGGTAGTCTAATTACGTTAAGGTTCAGTGCTGAAGACAAGCACATCCTGGGGCTGGTGGCAGAGGTCTTGAGACTGGGGTCATTAATTTTGCTATCCACAGTCAAACTATGTTGAAATCAGGGTAGGAGAAAGAGATAGTCTTTGAGTTTGTTTCAAAGTACACAAAGTATAAGAGGGGAAAAACCCACCACACCAGTGAGGTAATTTAAAAATCCACCTGTGGGATTAGCTATAATGATGACAAAGCCAGCTATTACCTCAGCAAGGAGTGGGTTGAAAGGCTTATATAAACTGACCATATGTCCTGACTTATTCAATCACAGAGGAATTATATATCATAAATGGAAAAGGCATAAACACTTTACATGCCTCATTACTTTGTTCAGCTTTGTACTGTCTCTTATTAACATAGATTTCAGCCCTGGAGCTTTCAAATTGCACAATCACTGTACTTTCCTTTAGTAATATTCATTTGTTCAAGACATTTTTAAACAGTCTTTGGGGAGTTATAGCCATCATAGATGGAGGATTTTCAGAATCCAGGCCTCACACAGATTGTCTGTATATTTGAGCCAAAATTAAGACCTCTCCAAGCCAAATAAAATTCAGATTTCCAAGTAAAGAGGTGGAGCCCCCCTACATCTAAGAAGGGAATTCAGAAAAAAGATCTGTCTGGAAAAGTGTTTGGCCTAACTGACCCAACTCAGTGCAATGTAACATTAAACAAGATTCTCTGTTACCTGTTCCACTGGGCTCTTCCCTCAATGTCTGCAAAGCCCGAACCAAGTAGGAGTATATTTTGATTCTAGTAAAATCATAAATCTGTTCACATCACAGGCAGCAGGGGATTTTAGCCATTTGTGTGCATGTGCACATGTGTGTGGCCTTTCAAGTCATCACATATTAAAAGTTTCTTAAACGCACCATGTCAACTCCCTCCCTGCAATCTGATTTAAGACTTTCTATCTTGACCTTACCATTGTCTGTTTACATTCTTGGGACTCTGTGATCAATAGGTGCATTTGCTAATTGCTCATGAAATGTTCATTAAAGGTATTTCAGAGTAAACTGGGTCAATCACCCACCTACAGGAAAACAAGTGACAGCTTCGTGTGCTTTCTCTGAAAAGTTAGAATCCTGTAATATGTTTCTCACTTTTTATGTACATATGTAGTTGGAAAAATTATTAAGCTATTTTCTTTTGTAATATATCTATGCAAGTACAATAGCATTTCGACTGTATTCCAACTTGTCTTACCTTGTGCGTGTCATGGAACTACTAATTAAAATGTAATATTATGGATATTTGGATAAAGTAATGTATGCATTGCATACTGGTGGGGTTGCTTTCTTTAGGAAGTTCTGTAATGAAGATTAAAGGATTCACCACCTGTGGTGACAGCCTGATTAAGACCACTGGGAAGGAAATTTCCATAATTAACCTTTAATCATAGCAGAAGAAATATCTTGCAAGTCACATATACTTTCAGTGGAATTTGAACTTTGATTAAAAGCTTGCATAGGTTTTTCAACAAAGAGTCT